TCGACTCAGCCATAAAAACTCCAATAGTGTTTCCATGAAAATCTTTGTTATTGAACCATTCAACAGCAGCCAAAGCAGCATGCGGATCCTCATAGGTAACAGTAGCATCTCCCTTGGGCTCATCAGTCTCTTTATCCCGGTACAGCCATACCTTAGGAGTGCCAGTTCGTTTGTCTCTCTAAAAACCATGTAGGACAAACGTAAGAAACTCTAAAATCTTGTGACCCATAAAAGATTGCAATGAGGTCAAAACAAAAGCAACAATTAGTACCTGGCCAATACCATACCTTAAGCAACCCAATGGTCCCAAAATACTCAGCCAACATATTCTCGTCAGTTCCTAATGGAAGATTAGAAACGTAGACTGATCCATTAGTAGGAGCTCCTTTGGTTGAATATCCAGCCATCGTAATCCAATTTCATCAAAAACAAAGGCGTCACGAATCTGTAAAAGACAATCCCACAACTTCACTTCAATTCACCATCATAAACACTCACTTCAATTGTTCATCGTAAACATTCAAACAAACAAAGATAGAGACTATCAACATTGAAACCTCATCAAGAATCGTTATAGTCACATCAATAAACATTCAAGATAGAGATCGATAATAAACTTGAAAGCGAGTAAACGCGTGATAGCCATTTCTTATACAAGTCAAGAACGAGCCATAGGACTAGGTACAAATAACATGGAGGCATTGAACCCCAAATTTTGAGCTAAACAACAAACCATGAGAACAAAAAGAAGATTCGATGATACAGCATAACGCAACGAGAGAGGGGAAAAGAAGATGAAAGGAGAAGAGCGAGATAGAGAGGAATCTGACCGGCGATGAGGATCTAGCGGCGAATGAGACCTCGTCGGATTAGGGTTTGGAAGTGCGTCGAGTGAGAGAGAAAGAGAGAGAGACGTAGATCTCGGCGAATAAAGATTATTTTTGGTGGTTATTTGCAATTTCATATATTATTTTTATTTTTTTCCCTTGAACTTGTAATTTTCGTGGTTAAGGAATTAATCCACACATTATTAAATGAGTCAATTATCTGTATGCTAATTATTTGAGAAATAATTAGCTTGTACATACACAACTTTTATTCTTTGCAAAACAAGAGAGATAAATCTTTGGTTTCGAAAAAATCGGACGAATTTATCCCTGAAATAAATTTACAGTGGTTAAGTTCACTTGACTCCGCCTTCCCCACCGGAGTTCGACTCCACTAAATTGCGTTACCCCGTGTAGTAGGGACTGGTTATGGATCGGGCCTTGTCGAATATATGGTCGTTGGAGATTTTGAACCCAAGTTTGAATGTGTAATGTTCAATCTAGGTTGGATCAGCAAAAAGCAACTCGAGCTCTTGAGAAGAAGACGTCGTGGTTTGATTAATCAGGACACACCGAGATTTAGTGTGCTGGTTATAGGTAATGAGAGGGCGGGTGGTAAGGGTTCATGGCTGTTGGGTCAAGTCATGATCACATAACATGTTTATTGGGCTGAATTGAAACGTGATTAAGTTTTCTTGGTCTATCACTTTTCATTTAGACTTATCAAGTAGTGATAAACTTAATTTGTAACATCTTTTTCCATGTTACAAACTCGGACTTCTCTCGTCCATGAGCCTGATATTTGATGATCAAGGCTAATGATATTGAACTGATCCAATCTTCATTCTCGATCAGTTGTTCCACAAACTTACCGATCACATTCCGGAGGTTTTGCTATGTGTTCTTCGTCCAGCCCATCGTCTTAATTAATTACACCGTCACTGACATGATTCAAACTTGGGAACGTTGTCTTTGATGTTGCGTTTTTTTTTTTTTTTTTAATTTGCATCAATCTATTAAATTATATATTTTTTCACGTCATTTTAGAGAAAAGTTACAAAGATAAGAATATCTTAAACATATCTAATCAGAGAACAGTGTGTTTTCATAATGACCATAAGCATTTCATATTTTTACTTTGGTTTTTTCTTCATTTTCAATTATCTTTCTTTGCATTGCAATGTTGTCTCTCAAATTAGCTGGAACAACGATGTACATGCAATGACGTGTATCTATTTACCAATCCTAAATCTGAACCAAACTAAACTAAAATTAATCTCCAAATTAAATAGACTACATTATATATACGTACTAAACTAAAGCACAGTTAGTTCACAGTTAAATGCGATTGTTTTATTATTACAAGTTCCTATTTTAGGGTTAATTAGACTGGTTTTTTCAACATATCTCTTACAGTCTTATATGTAATAAAAATTAAAGAGAAAAGAGCGGAAGTTGTCCCTAAAAAAACCAAAGAAACTGTCAAAAAAAGACTCTAAGATCTCCACTAAAACTGGGTTTAAAGAACATGAAAACAAAAAACAAAAACCACTTCCCCTATTCATAAGCCAAGATAAATCTCAAACAGGTCATATTACAACCCATACCTAATAATAGATCACGAAAACTCTTATATTTAAGAAGCTCACAAGCTCTTCAGTTTTGGATTATAAGCTCACAAGTTCTTGTTTGAATAACAAAGCAAAAGGCACTAATACTAACAATCAATAAGTGAAGAATAAATAATAATGGCTGGAGGAGCCTTTGTATCAGAGGGTGGTGGTGGAGGAAACAGCTATGAAGGCGGAGTCACCGTCTTTGTCATCATGACCTGTATTGTGGCCGCTATGGGAGGTCTTCTCTTTGGTTATGACCTCGGAATCTCAGGTTTGTAAATTCCACATTCGCCTTTTTCTTCTTCGGGTTGAGTTATTTTGGTTTGCTTTTGCTGTCCACTCTAGCTTCGGGCAATGTAATGTGATTTCTTTTGCTGTATAGGAGGAGTGACATCTATGGAGGAGTTTCTGAGCAAGTTTTTCCCGGAGGTGGATAGGCAAATGCACGAAGCGAGGCGCGAGACTGCTTACTGCAAATTCGATAACCAATTGCTCCAGTTGTTCACTTCCTCACTCTACCTCGCGGCTCTCGTGTCTTCCTTTGTAGCTTCGGCTGTCACAAGGAAGTACGGACGTAAAATCTCCATGTTTGTTGGAGGGGTTGCTTTCCTCATAGGTTCTCTATTTAACGCATTTGCCACCAATGTCGCAATGCTCATCATTGGTAGATTGTTGCTCGGAGTCGGTGTTGGATTTGCTAATCAGGTGAGTCAACAACTCAACATGGTCATAGTGTGTTCATTATGTAGTTTAGATCTAGACATTCTGCTTTGGACTCGGTTTGGTTCAATTTTTTTTTATGCGGTTTGTTTGCACAAATCTGGTTGGGATATTTGATTTGTTTGCTATAAAAATATTGTTACCGCTTAGTTTGAAATAAAGTCGGATTTGGTTTCGGTATGGCTAATCTTTCGATCATGGTTAACTTTATTTTTCCACAGTCTACGCCGGTTTATCTCTCGGAGATGGCTCCTGCGAAGATCCGAGGAGCACTTAACATCGGGTTTCAAATGGCTATAACCATCGGGATTTTAGTTGCGAACCTAATCAACTATGGAACATCTCAAATGGCTAGGAACGGATGGAGAGTGTCCTTGGGTTTAGCCGCTGTTCCGGCAGTTGTTATGGTTATCGGATCTTTTGTCTTGCCCGATACACCAAACTCGATGCTCGAGAGAGGCAAGTACGAGCAAGCGAGAGAGATGTTGCAAAAGATTCGTGGAGCTGATAACGTAGATGAGGAGTTTCAAGATCTATGTGATGCTTGTGAGGCTGCTAAGAAAGTGGAGAATCCATGGAAGAACATTTTCCAACATGCAAAATACAGACCCGCGCTTGTTTTCTGTTCTGCAATTCCTTTCTTCCAACAGATTACTGGTATCAATGTGATCATGTTCTACGCCCCGGTTCTCTTTAAAACACTCGGTTTCGCGGATGATGCCTCGCTCATCTCAGCCGTTATTACGGGTGCTGTCAATGTTGTCTCTACCCTTGTCTCCATCTATGCGGTTGACAGATACGGAAGAAGGATTCTCTTCCTTGAAGGAGGCATCCAAATGATCATTAGCCAGGTAAAAATGCTAGTTCCGAAGTTTCGTATACATGTTGGAAAAATGAAATATTTTCAGTTCATAATGTATATAAATGATGACTGCGTTCCTTACATGTATTGTTTGATGGGTCATTCTGCAGATCGTTGTTGGTACCTTGATTGGTATGAAGTTTGGAACCACAGGATCAGGGACCTTAACACCTGCAACAGCAGATTGGATCCTAGCTTTCATATGTTTGTATGTTGCAGGATTTGCATGGTCATGGGGTCCATTAGGATGGTTAGTACCAAGTGAGATCTGTCCATTGGAAATCAGACCAGCGGGGCAAGCCATCAACGTCTCTGTCAACATGTTCTTCACTTTTCTCATTGGACAATTTTTCCTCACGATGCTTTGCCACATGAAGTTTGGTCTCTTCTACTTCTTTGGAGGAATGGTTGCAGTCATGACCGTCTTCATCTACTTCTTGTTGCCGGAGACAAAAGGGGTTCCTATTGAAGAAATGGGAAGAGTATGGAAGCAACATCCGTTCTGGAAACGTTACATCCCAGATGATGCTGTTATTGGAGGAGGTGAAGAAAACTATGTCAAGGAGGTTTGAAGAGCCAAGAAAGTGAATGTTTCAAAGTCTAGGCATTGGTTTTGCTTAAGCACAGGGTTTTTGGTTGCTTTTTCAAGGGAATAAGGCAGCAAGATGTGAGAATCTGCAGCCGAGACGAAAAGAAGAAGAAGAATGGAAGTTGTTGAAAAAAATCTTAAATGTTGAATTCTTTTACCTGATTCATTCCAATAAATCCAAGCAGAATTTGTTTCTTTGCATTCAGTTGCATTTGATTTTCTATTCTTTTTACCACCAAATGGGAATATTTCTAAAAAAATGCAAAAGCCAAATGTGTTCACAGGGAACAAGACTGCAATGATCAGTCATGCTTCCTGTGAACAATCTACGAAAAACCTAACTAGACAATGCCAAGCATAAGCAAATAATTTCCCTATGATGCTTGTTTGGTTCTGATAAGAGCTCAAGTCTTTTCTATTCGTAAAATTCGTTGCAAGATATACACATCAAATGAGAAATGGGGGATGAAGATTACAATTGAAGAGATTTGCTTAAACAAAATCCAGTGTTGAGACAGAGGAATACCGGTGGGAAGAGAGACAATTAAGCAACAGATATCGAGTTCAAGAGACCGTCAATGTACTCCTTAAGCTTGGCCTTTGTAATAGCACCTTCCCTTCTGCTCCCTGGAACTTCCTTCCCGTCCTTGAAGAGAATGAAATGCGGTAAACCGTAAACCTTGAAATCCGCTATTAATTTTGGGTTAGCGTCGTGATCAATCTTTACAATCGTCAATTTGTCACCATATTCCTGAGAAAAAAAGGAAACATTTTGAGTTTTAGAAACCAAGAAAACTCAGAATTGAATCTATTCTCTAAGCACTTCCAAAAAAAACTCACTCGCTGACATTTTTAGCAGTTCTAGAGCTAATGGTATATGATTAACAATAGTTTCTCATACATTAAATCTAAAATTCCTATTTTGGATCACCAAATCATGCGTGAAGTCTCTGATTTCAAATAAACTGATCTCGTTCAATTTCAAACTCTCACGATTCTCCAGCAAGAACTGATGATTACAAAAGAGAGAATCGATATATCAAACCTGAGATAAGGCTTCCATAGCGGGATAGATCAATTTGCAGGGACCGCACCAAGTAGCGACGAATTCAACCAAAACCGGCCGGTCTGATTCGAGAACCGTACTCGAAAACTCACTCTCTCCAATCTCTTTGATTCCGCCGCATCTTATCGCCGAACTAGAGAATTTCTTGCTTCCTCTACCACCGGAGCTTAAGGAAAGCAGGTGGCGGTTAGCCGCGACGGAGGTGACCTGGACTGAGCTCACAGATTTGACGGAAACGGAGGTTGCCGAAGAACATGAACGGACCGGAGGAGTGAGATATGATCGAATAAGAATCGTTGAGCTGGAGACGATAGAGTCCATGGCTTCTTCTTCCACGTTCTCTCCTAATCCTCTGTGTTTGACTCATATTCAGTCAGAAGAAAACGATTGTGTGGCATAGGAAGGAAAGCAGGTGATGACTTTTCTCAAGGTCCACTACTTTTTTATTCTCTTAATTTTGCCCCATACTTTGAGAAAATCATTTAAAGCTCCTTACTAATTGGGCCTATGCCCATTATTGAAAAAAAAGTCCTCGCCAGAGTTTGTGTATAACAATGACTTTAGAACCTCCCTCTAAAGTCGTTCGAGCAGAGCTTTAAAGAAAAATACTTAGGTTTTTCAGTATAGTAATTTTCATTGTTTAAAACACAAGTCGTTTGGTATTTTGGACAAGTCAAAGTCGAAAGCCGGTCCAATCCGATCTATTAAACAAGCTTATTCGTGATTTGGTGTGCTCTTGTGGCGGATTTCGATTTTTTTAACACCAAAACAATTAATTATCGGCATAAATCGGTAATGACAACAACATACCAAACAACATTATTATTATTATTATTTTATTATTATAGATTTGGGTACTGATTCTTAACAGAAAGTTTTTTCTTTTACTAGAAAACATTCCAAAATTACAAGAACAATGTGACCTACATTTTCGACAATAGAAACCCCTTTTAAGAGCTGTGGAATAGGCTTGATGACACTTGACAGCTCGCTTCCACATTCCTCCGCATAGGCAGACATATTACCAACGGTCCTGTTTAAGGTGTCATAGTCATTGGTTGCCAAAGCTTTAAAAGCGATTTCAAGCGAATGGATACCAAGGCTAAAAAGTTCTGAACATAGCTTATAGGAATCCTTAGAACTGCGATCGGTTGTGCTGTTTGTGAGTGACTGGAAATGCTTCATCAGATCTAAGGCTTTTTGAAAATCATAATTGATCAAAAATTTGGCGAGATCAGAAATATCCATTGTTGCAATTTGAGGGTATGATTTCATGAACTCATAGCAAAATGACGCATTGACATTTCTGTGTGTGCAGATGCCCCTGATTTCACTTGTTGTAACCTTCGTACTAAATTTTGCATATGATGAGACAACAAAAAGAAGTAAAACTACTATAGGAACCAATAAAAAGTTGTTCTTGATGTATGCAACCATTTTTTTTTTCTAATTTTCGAGAACTTATGTGAGATTATTATAGGGTGAAAACATATCTTTGAATTTAAAAACTAAAAGATTTTGTTTGATTTTTGCCGTAAATGCTGCAGATTATGTACCATGAAAAAATGATTTGAATTTAAATTCGAAGATATGATTATGATTCTCCTATCTTTGTTTCATTTTTTTCCTAATTGCTTTAACTTATTATATCACTAAATAAGATCCACGTAAATACGTGGGTTAAAAATAAATGAAAAAACTAGTCGACACATTTTTTACAAGATTTAATGTGATAATTTTTGTTTTTAACCAGATTTCAGTCTTACACATTACATTTTTCAAACAATTTGACTATTTTATTATTATAAACCGGATTTTAATAATATACATTCCATATTAACGAAAAATAGCTAAATATTTTAGATAAACATAGTAATGCATTATATCAAATTTATTTATTAGTTATATAGTATTAAAACAATTCAAAAATAAGAAAACATAATAGTAACAAATAAAATCCACAAAAGAATTTGGAAAACCAACATTAATTTAAATATAATTTATATAAATTGTAATCTCATACGTAATAATTTTATCTCATGTCAAACTATTTTGAATGATTTTAAAATAATAAAATAAAATATATGTTAAAAATTTTAGAAATCCTAATATTATCAAGAGGAAATGTTAGAAATGCCTCTTTTAAATACTACTTTCAAAAATACCCCATTTTCTGGCCAATTTTATTTTTTTCCTCTTTTAATTTAATAACTATTTAACCCTCATTTGAAAAATACTTAAGCTTGCAAATAAAAAATTAAATTTTCCCGTATTTTTTTGGCGGGAAACGTGATTCCGTAATTTTGGTTTTAAAATGATTTACAAAGGTTTTTAAAAGGGAAAAATGTCATTTAATCCGCTAACTTTCAAATTGTGGTCATTTTAAACATGAAAGTCATAATAAACCATTTTAAAAATCAACTAAATGTTGACTGCCGTATTGTACATCAGACTGCGTTGACTTAGCCAATATAGACATGACGTTAAAATCTGATAACATAACAACTAGAGCCGTTATCAAGCATTAACTACTCTGTTAGTTGAATCACCAACTTTCAAATTTAAGTCATTTTAAACATGAACTTCGTATGAGACCATTTTAATCATCAACCAAAAGTTGACTAACATATTGGACATCAGATTACGTTGATCTGGAAAAAAAAAGACATGACGTTAAAATCTGCTAACATAACCACCAACAGCTATTATCAGTCGTGAACAACCAACAAAATTAAAACAAAAGAAGACACAATACGTAGAACCAAGACACAAACCAAACACCAAAGACACAAAGACACTAGCAACCAAGAACAAATTTCTCATTTGATGCCTATCACTAAACATCCATCTAGGTGAATTCCACATCATAAACACTCTCATAGAGCATTTCTGCTTTCTAAAAAAAAAATCCATAAATTTTGAAAACGACAAACTCGGTTCTATTTTCTCAATTTTCTTATCATTGTCTAATGTCTTACTTTCACCTTTCTTGATCTCATTATTCGTCTGCACACTAGTAACCAAGAACAAATTTCTCATTTTTGGTTACTAGTGTCTTTGTGTCTTTGGTATTTGATTTGTGTCTTAGTTCTTTGTATTATGTTTTCTCTTGGCTTAGTTTTGTTGTTCATTAACGACAAATAACGAATGTTAGTGGTTATGTTACATGATTCTAACGTGATGCCTTTTTTGGTCGGGGGTCAACGCAAGATCTAGTGTCTATTATGTTAGTTAATGTTTACTTGATGATTAAAATGGCCTAAATTTTAGGGTGAATATCTCAAAAATAATACAAATATCTTATGTTATTGGTAAGATTACTTTGAGAGTCTAAAATAGTCATTAACGAAGATAAGTTATGGGGTGGCATTTTTCGTGATTTGGTGTGCTCTTGGTGGATTTTGATTTTTCTTAACACTAAAGCAATTAATTATCGGCGCCAATCGGTAATGACAACAACATTATTATTACCCTTATTATTATTATTAATTTATTATTATAAATTTAGATACTGATTTTTAACATAAAGTTTTTTCTTTTCTTAGAAAACATTCCAAAATTACAAGAAAAATGTCAGATACATTTTGGACAATAGAAACCCCTTTTAAGAGCTGTGGAATAGGCTTGATAACACTTGACAGCTCGCTTCCACAGTCCTCCGCATAGTCAGACATATTACCAACAGTCCTGTTTAAGGTGTCATAGTCATTGGTTGTCAAAGCTTTAAAAGCGATTTCAAGCGAATGGATACCAAGGCTAAAAAGATCTGAACATATCTTATAAGAATCCTTAGAACTGCGATCGGTTGTGCTGTTTGTGAGTGACTGGAAATGCTTCATCAGATCTAAGGTTTTTTGAAAATCATAATTGATCAAAAATTTGGCGAGATCAGAAATATCCAATGTTGCAATTTGAGGGGATGATTTCATGAACTCATAGCAAAATGACGCATTGACATCTTTGTGTGTGCAAATGCCCCTGATTTCACTTGTTGTAACTTTCGTACTAATTTTTGCATATGATGAGACAACAAAAAGAAGTAAAACTACTATAGGAGCCAATAAAAAGCTGTTCTTGACGTATGCAACCATTTTTTTTTTTCCAATTTTCGAGAACTAATGTGAGATTATTATAGGGTGAAAACATATCTTTGAATTTAAAAACTAACAGATTTTGTTTGATTTTTGCCGTAAATGCTGCAGATTATGTACCATGAAAAAATGGTTTGAATTTAAATTCGAAGATATGATTATGATTCTCCTATCTTTGATTTTTTTTTCCTAATTGTTTTAATTTATTATTTTACTAGATAAGGTCCACGTAAATACGGGAGTTCAAATAAATGGAAAAACTATTAATGTTATTTGAATTCTAAGTAGTAGTCCCCACATTTTTTATAAGATTTAACCTGATAATTTTTATTTTAAACCAGATTTCAGTCTTACAAATAACATTTTTCAATACAATTTGACTGTTTTATTATAATAAACCGAATTTTAATTATATACATTCCATATTAACGAAAAATAGCTAAATATTTTAGATCAAAAAGAATAGATGCATTATATCAAAATTTATTTATTAGTTATATAGTATTAAAACAATTAAAAATTAAGAAAACATAATCGTAAAAAAATAAAATCCACAAAAGAATTTGGAAAACCAACATTGTTTTAAATATAATTTTATATGAACTGTAATCTCATAGTAATAATTCTATCTCATGTCAAACTAATTTGAAATGATTTTAAAATTATAGAATAAAATATATATTAAAAATTTTAGAAATCCAAATATTATCAAAAGGAAATGTTAGAACTGCCTTCTTTTAAATGCTATTTTCAAAAATGCCCAAATGAAATATACTTAAGCTAACAAATGAAAAATTGAATTTTCCCGTATTTTTTTTTGGCATGAAACGTGATTCCGCAATTTTTGGTTTTAAAAGGATTTACAAAGGTTTTTAAAAGGGAAAAATATCATTTAATTCACCAACTTTCACATTGTGGTCATTTTAAACATGAACTTCATAGTAGGCCATTTTAAACATCAACTAAACGTTGACAGTCGTATTGAACATTAGACTATTATATGGTGAAAACATATCTTTGAATTTAAAAACTAACAGATTTTGTTTGATTTTTGCCGTAAATGTTGTAGATTATGTACCATGAAAAAATGATTTGAATTTAAATTGGAAGATATGATTATGATTCTCCTATCTTTGTTTGATTTTTTTCCTAATTGCTTTAACTTGGTGATGGCACTATGGTAAAGGCTTGGTATGATCCATGGCTTCCATTACACCCACCAAGACCACCTGTTAAGAAAACGAGGGTATACAAGATGCTATGGTCTGCGATTGGTTCAATGAAACAAAAGAAGATTGGGATGTTGAAAAGGTGCGAGATTCTGTAGTTCATGAAGACGCTGAAAAGATATTGGCCATAAGATTTGCCCACAAGCGACAGGGGATTTACTTGGTTGGCACTACACAAAAGATGGTTTACATACTGTTAAATCTGAAATTTGGATGAACTCAGAACCGTTTTTCCCCAAACTCAGAAACACTGAGTATTACTTTATTAGAAATCTGGTTAAGAAATTACAACTCTCTTAACTGGTTTTACACAGACATAAAACTACTTTAGGTTGTCACCTGAGATTTCTAAGACTCACAAGAGAATTACAAGAACACACTCTATAATCTCTCTTGTAACAAAAATACAGTAAAGCTTACTCTCTAACATAACAAAAAAGCTTGACAAAACGGCTAACCCTAGCAAGAGCCTTAGCACCCCTTTTATATCCACGAGGTCTTCAGATCTTGTAGGTTTAGTCTTCTCGATCTTGGATCTTTCCAAATCTTCATCGAATATCTTCTTGCCAAACTGAACTCATTTTGTTGTGATCACCACGTCATTCATTCATTTGGCGCCAGTACACGTCAACAACAATTACTTGGTCATTACTCATGTATTCAAGAACAACTTCAATCATGTTCCGGCAACTTGTGCGCCTATCTGAGCTCCTGGTATAGAGTGCACTTACAAAATCTTCTTACTGGTTGGCTACCCATTTACAGCAAGGCATCATGGATCAAGCTCCACGAGGAGATGTGAATATAAAGAAAATCCTCTGGAAAGTTAGAACAGCTCCTAAACTGAAACATTTCTTGTGGAGAATGATATCAGGGGCTCTAGCTACAGGGGAAATTTTAAAGTACCGTCACATTAGCCAACATTCGATGTGTAGGAGATGTTGTGCAGCAGCGGAAACAACGAAGCATATCTTCTTTGATTGCAACTATGCAAGATCAGTTTGGCGAGCTTCGGGTATCCCGGATGCAACCATCTTACTACCGAGCTTCTCTTTAGAAGAAAAATCAAAGCAGTGTGTTTTTCAACACGTCTTCTCGAACTCAACATTTTAACCAACTACCATTTTTGATCCTTTGGAGAATATGGAAGAGTAGAAACATTTTATGCTTTCAACAAAGACACATTCCATGGAGAACCTGTTTGGCGCTTGCGAAAGCTGATTCAAAGGAGTGGCTGGAGGCGGAGGATTACACTACTACATAGAACCAATTTGGACAAGATCACATTGTGCTGAATCTGAAAAGGCATCATTGGAGTGCCCCGGAACCAGGTTGGATTAAATGCAACTTTGATGGATCTTTTGTCAATTCAGGAGTTCCTTCTGAAGCAGGCTGGATTTTACGAGATCAAAACGGAACTTATATTGGTTCTAGTCAAGAAATCGGACGAAACACTGAAACAACACTTGAGAGTGAACTCCAAGAACTCCTTATTGCTATGCAACATTGCTGGTGTAAAGGTTACAAACAGACTTGTTTTGAAGGAGATAACTAGAAAATGATGGAGCTGATAAAGGGGATGAAGCTCAACTTTGTTATCTTTAATTGGATCAGGACCATTCGACAATGGAGCTGCAAGTTTGACGATACTCAATTCCTAATAGCTCTTTATATTTCTATCACAATTTCATTCCTAGTGTAACCTCTGATGCGCTAGCTACATTGTGATTATACTCCTTACTTTTAATCTAATAAAATAGATGTTCAAAAAAAATACAAATATATGTTATTGGTAAGATTACTTTGAGAGTCTAAAATACTCGTTAGACTCATTACACTTACGTGAGCAGGAAGCACAGGAAGATAAGTTTACCAGTTAATATATTTTTCACCATTTAATATCTTTTGTTTATGGATTGACAGATACCATTTTCTTGAATGTTTTAAATACTATTGGTAAACACGATCTAATCAGAGACCCTCGTAAAACGGAACTCCGGTGGCGTTCAGCCAAGAGTCTCTGTTTATGAATTCTCCAACAGTAAACTTTCCCGCTTCTATCGGATCCGTAATTACCTTGAAGCCCTTCCAGTCGACTCTCTGGTTTGTGTTTGCTCCGGGGCCTTTGTTTCGATATTCTCCATAGAATATTGTGGACAATCGTCTAGTGGTGCTGCTATTCCACGGAGTCCATCCAGTAGGATCTATCAAATCATCCATATAAGATTCCATGAACACCACAGTTGAGAGATCACCCCACGGTCTTCCCAGGAACGTTTTCACCATTCTTTTTAGTGGAGCAAGATCTGAACTCGCCTTGATACTGCAGTTCTGAAATGTAAAACCCGAATGTTTGTCATCCTTGCCACGTTGTTGAGCAGTTATGACGTTACTCTGTCCTTCCGTTGGCTTTCGGGCCTCAATCTGACAGTTTTGGAAAACTGCTGATGCACGTCCGCATATGAAGTCTACGGTACCCGTGATGAAGCAGTCACGGTAAAATTGTGTGTTTGAATGGGCATAGAGTGTATCCTGATAAGCATCAATGCGACACTGATAGATGACTACATAATTACCGCTAACTCGAAGAGCAACAGCCTGTCCCTTTGCCGGTCCAGCCGTGTTCTGTATCCAAAGATCCTGGGCCATGAACCAATCTCCATCGATGGCTGCAAGTTTATAAATCACATGAGAGTTTAATTAAGAAATACAATAATAGATAGCTTCGGACATATGATCAAGGTATTTATGTGAATGATATAATAAACCAATTTATGATCAATTCCTTAGATCCATTTGGTTTAATTCGGTTTCTTTTCAATTCACTGATCTATTATACTACGGTTTACACCTAAATTTAAATAATCCATATTGTCATTTTTACAGAAACAAATAATGACATTAAAAGCTTAACTATCGAAGAGCTAGCATACACAGATAAATGATAGAAATACTTTCATAAAACTGATTTGGTTTAATACGGTTTAATTTTTTATTCAATAGTTATGTTTACCAATATATATATATATATATATATATATATATATATATATATCAAAAATATCTAGTCCTATTTTCTTTTTTTGAATACAAACTAGTCCTATTTTCCTGTTTAGAGCAAACAACAAATTCAATATAATCTTATCCATCGGATATTTATTATTTAACAAGAAAACATACTATACTCAACGAATATAGTCCAACACTAAATATGATCAGAATGTAAAACCAATCGAATCTTAGTAAAAATCCAACTATCTTTTTCCTAGATTTCTAATTAGATTAAAAAAAAAATGCATATAATACTATCCAAGATTTTCTCTTATTCTTCACAAGTTAAGAATTGAGTAATAAAGATAAAAAAAGATACTACGTACCGACGGTTGCAGAATCGAAAGTTTTAGTGCCATCTTTGAAATTTAAACTCCCGGTAAGAATGGTTGCATCGCTTCCGTCTCCAACAATTGTTAAGTGTGTTTTCAATTCACCAATGTGGACGATCTCTTTGTAAGTTCCTCTTTTCACATAGATAATGAATCGTGTTTTGCTACCCGTTGGTGCCGCCGCAACCGCCTCGTTTATGGTTTTGTAATCACCCGTACCATCTTGAGAAACGATAAGATCCGCATGACCCCTGAGTGTCTATACAATGAACAACATATAAACTTTTAATAAGCAATTGACAAAAACAAGAAAAATGTGTCAAAATTTATCTCTCCGTTGTTGCTGATTTGAAGACTTCGGGTTTTTTTTAGCTATAGATATTTGGGATGTTCTTCCATGGGGCCTCATTAGTGTATGTTGGATTCTTTCTTTGATATTTTAAATATCTCCTTTGTGGGCTTTTTCCAATTATGATGGGCTACATTTTGTTCTTTTAAAATTTAATGCAAAACATTTTACAAAAAACCCCGAGGAAATAAAAACTGAACATGAAACCAACTTTCAAATACAAACGTTTTCGATTCAAATTGCACTATCTAGAAATTTAGTAACAACAGTTATCAAAATAGTTTTTAAACCCAAGAAAAAAATGAAATCAAACCAATGTTTTAAGAACAAACATTCAAAATAAAATATGTTGGGTATCATCACATCACATGGGTCCTTTTTGGTTCATGGTGGATTCTTTCTTGGATAATATTTTGAATATTTATTTTGTGAGCTCTTTTTTAAATGTAGTGTAAAACATCTATCAAAACAAAATTAAGAAAAACGGGAAGATCGATATTGTTTACTGAAAAAGACCATTTGTAAGAACACACATTTAATTTTAAAAAAACAAGTTATCTTGGTGTTGATATCACTTTTGGCCATGAAAGTATACATTTTAATAGTGGGATTGTTAGCAAATATAAAACACATTTCAGTATTAAGGGACGTTGATAGAATTTGTTATAGGTGTATACATATAAAATTCCAATTTAGAGACAAACAAAATAATATATAATGTTTTAGTAATGAGATTAATGGAACAAATGATGTTATTTTTTAATTACCTTTGTAGGGTTAAAGTCTGTTAACCAGGATGGAAAGTCATCAGAGGGAACAACCATTTCAATCACATCAGAAGTTGAAGATGCAAGTGCAAAAAAAGGTATTAGAGAAAGAATGAAAACTGAGAGCTGAATCTCCATTGTTTAAGGTTTTTTTTTTCTCTAATGTGATGATTTTAGAGAAAAGGTGAAAGGTCAATCCTTTTAAATAGAGAAAACTTAGAACTTATTCTATAAGTTCAGGTATAAATGTGTCATTTACTTCATTTTATAAGAAGAAAGAACTCAACTGTAACATTACTAGCCCCTTCTGATAAAGCTTGTTCGTCTTGAATATATTTTGTTGACCTCGTATAAAAATTATATATAGAGGTGGAGAAAAAGACAAGTAGATTTTGACATAGAACTATTATCTTGTACTTGTCCAGTGGAATATATAGATAAAAATAATAATAAAAGAATTGTGTTGACCTCTTATAAAAATTAAAGTTTGTATTGATTAGCCATAGTACTTCAGGAATTCTGAAACTTAGAGCATCTATTTTTTCAACTAACTCTCCCTTTTTAATTTATTGTAAGAAGACAACTATACTATAATCCCTAAATAATGGGTTGGACCATATGTTATAGTCAGACTATAATAGTCCCTTCAAATATTAGGACTTTAATTCAACATTATATCTCTTCGTTTTCTTGAGAGACCTAGCTTTAGCAAACATCATTACTCTAATATTGAACCAGACAAAGTAGACCTAATAATTAAAATAACTCCAGTTCTGTAGTTTGATCTGCTTTATCTGCAAATGTACTATCTGACGAATTTATAGAAAACTGGTTTCATATTAAAAAAACCCAGAATTACAAACGTTTCTAGGATATTCGTTTTTTCTAACAACTTCTTCCACACAAAAAAACTTCACTTCATATATCACAGATTCGCAACTATATCTAGTCCTATCACAAAGACACAAAGTATAGAAACGTATAGCTTTAAATTAGTATTTGGAGCTAAAGTTTAGTTAGTTATTTGGTCTAGTGGCAATTTCTTATTTTGGCTAATGTTCATGGCAGCTATGGCATATGGGCTATGGTTCAATCCTCAGCCGCACTAATCGAGCATTTTTTTTCTTCCAGTTTATTTATTTGGTTTCTTTTTTTTGTTCTCCCATAATCTCTTTTTATATTTTCGACAAAAAAAGCAACAAGTATCATTTACTATAAAATTTTTATTTTTTAAATTAATTTAAAAGCCATTCGTTTTTTTTTTTTTTTTGAATACTACTATTGATAAATATTATAGTATTCATGAAAATACTCTCCAATAATGAAAATGGAATTTTGTTGATGCTGAGAGTCTGATTAATTATTTAAACATTCTAAAGAATACTTTTAGAGTCAAACACAAAACAGAAATACTTTTTTTTTTCATCTGTTGAATATTGATAAGGAATGTTTACAAATTACAATCAAAAAAGAAAACAACTTAGAAACACAAGAGAAACAAATGACATTTCCAGTCCTACACCTAGGACAGATTTTCACAATGCTGCGATGGTTCCACAAAATAGAAATACTTATAAGACACATATTTGCGATTTACAGTTTTAGTAAAACATGTATATTTATAAATTAAATTTACAATTTTAGTATTGCTAAAACATAAAAATAGATTAGGAGATTAAACATTACTAGATCTGGACCCGCACGTTCGTGCGGGGTAAATTTTAAAAAATTTTAAATCTTAAATTTTTTTAAAAATAGTTAAAAATTATATAAAATGTGAAAATATTATAGTTTTGATTGATATACAGTAGTGTTACAAAAACAATTTTATTTTATGTAGTGTATTAATAGTTTGGTGTAAATGGAAAATTTATGGTTAGTGAAGAGTTGTGTGTAGATGTTTTAAAACAATAGTGTGTTAACCATGGGAAAACACATGATAATTTTTTAATTGTTGTAATAATAATTTTCTAAATTAATCTTTAAACTGATTATATTATTATATGGTCCGACAATTTTAATGTAGTGATACATGTGTTACATATGTTATTTTTTATGTAGTGGGCAACATTTTATAGGTTACTAATAAAGTCTTATTAGCCTAATATATATTTACTGAATTTTTAAAATTATTATATTTAATTAAATAAATCAAAACATGAGATGAAAGTTTGGATTGTCTAGAGCTTATGAATTGCATTCAAATCAGAAAATATTTCGAGATTTTGACGAATCTAAAATCTCTAATTTATTCGAGGAATATTCTATATTTCAAAATACAAAATATCTAGTTTATATTATATTTGGGAAATATAATAACTGTTTCTTAAAACATTGGAATAATCAAATTTGCGTTTTTATTTCTTCCATCTAAACTAATCAAAATTAATTAGTATAGTTTTATTATGGAAATTTTAAAAATCAAAAATAAACTATTGTTTGTTATTTTTCAATTATATTAAATTGGACTGTCGTTTCCGAAAATATCTAACATTACCTCGCCAAATTAAATAAGTTAACATATCTACAATTTCAAAAAAAAAATTCTTCCATTAATCATAATTTTTTTTTTGGTCAAACCATTAATCATAATTTATTTTTATATTTTCTTAAAGAAATAAATTAAAATCGAAAATATATGATGATATTAAATTGATTTTTTTGTTTTCCGGAAATATTTCAAAATATATTACGAAATTAAATAAGTTTACATATATACAATTTTGAAATTAATAGTTAGATTTTTTATGGAAACTACTTTAAAAGATTTCTATAAATTTTGGGTAGTTATTAATTTGTTTATTTTATGGGAACTACTTCAAACAATTTCCATAAATATTGGGTAGTTATTAATTTGTTGATTTAATTTTGGATTTTGTTTTATATAAGAAAACAAATATCAAATGGATATTATATTTTTATTCTTTTTCAAATTTAAAAATACCAATGGCATTCTTTGTAATTAATCTACCAAAATAAGGTTACTTATGTTTGAGTGATTCCCAATTAATAGTATAGATACGAAGAATAGTTTTAACTGTTAACATTAACTATATAATTTAAAATCACTTCAAAACACTATTTATTTTGTCCCAGAACAACGTTAGCATTCAAACCTATAAATACAAAACACATATATAAACGGCTCGTTCAAAGTGCATGGAGATGTGATTTCGTTATGTATATGCAAATAATAATATAAAAAACTTTAATTTGGTCCCACTAATCCAAAATAAATTAGAGCAAACAAAAATCAATCATTATCTTAGTTTGGGATGTTGGTTTGGATTCATCATTAAACCATATCCGTATCATAAAAACTGTTCGTGTAGGAATTAGCACCTCCCACAATACCAGTTTAAATCGGACGAATTACGAATCAAATTGAGAACTCAATGTAAACCGGGGAATCCCGGTTAAGTCTGTTAATGGGCTGAAGAAGGAGATCGCCATGCGAGCTCAACTCGGACAGGAGAGATCGCCCGCAACCGACTTCTTCATTCAAGAAAAAAGAGATTTTTCTAAAGGATTAAGGAGAATCCCGGAAAAAAGGAAAGATTGAAGATTTAACTTTATCAATTTAGAAGATTAACTTATCTCGAAACCGCCTAAAACTTGTATAAATAGAGGGGGTTGTCCTCTATTCAAGGATCCACAACTTTATGCAAAAACCCTAATTGTTCTTGAGCAAAAACCCTAACTTTGTCTCTAAGCAATAAAATTCATCATTCTTTTCGAGTCTTTGATCAATAATTGAGAGAGAGTTAATTGAATTTGTTTTCCTCTTTTAAACAAATTTATTGTGTGATTTTCAGAATAAACAAAAACATATCTTAGTCTTGACTTATTTCATCAAACAACACTCAATAGTCAATACTATATTATTAAATGTGACGACGAAAAAAATATTTATATATATTAAATGTGAAATTTTTCTAACTTTTGCAAATGAAATCTTTGTTGACTTTAGTAGAAATAGCGTATGAAGACAGATGACTCTTCAATAATGAGCTACTTCGACTTTCATATATGAAAGTTATCCTATGAAGCAAAACACATGTTAGTTAACTATCCAAAGAAATGTATAAAGCGGGAATGTTAGAAAAAGTAGACGAATTCTTTCTTATCTTTGTGTTGTTTAACCAGTGTTATGTCATAAAGCTTTAATCCATTTATCTTTTATGGAGAGTCCTATAAGAAATGGATTAACTAATTAATATCAGGAATTGAGGGAAGATCATTTCTGCTTTCATTGACGAACAAATTTCTATAAATTTGACAAACATGGCTATGTGACTAAATAAGTATCTACGATTTTTTAACGTGGAACATCAATATACGAAGATTATCGAATAACATAAGAGATGATAAAGAAAATATTAAGTTTGGAAGCTAGAACATTGCCAAATACAATCGGAAATCGAATCGGTGTTAGAGAGTCAATAGAAATTTTTATTTCAATATCAATTCACTAACAATTTCCGAGTTTTGATGTTAAAAAATTTCAAAAAAATTACAATCACCCTCTCTTTCAGATTCGCTGAATCGTTTAATTTGGCCCCATACTTAAAATCATTTAAACCACCTTCTTAATTGGGCCTAGGCCCATAATTGAAAAACGTCTTCGCCGGAAACGTCTCTCTTTCTCTCTCATCTCTTCCAATTTTCTCGTCTTCTACGTTTTGAGTGAGATTTGTAGATTCCGTCATGACTTCCGGCGGAAACTCAATCGAATCCTCCGTCGTGGCGGCGGCGGCGGATAAGATGTTCTTCTGCTACCAATGCGATCAGACGATCACAATCTCTATTACTTCCTCCGCTGATCCTTTTTGTCCTCTTTGCAGCGGAGGTTTTCTCGAAGAATACGTAGACCCTAACCCTAATCCAATCCCCAATCTGATTCTCCCGATGTCCGATCCAATCTCATCTCGCTTCCCCTTCGTTCCAGTAATGGACTTCACGAATCCGAGTTTCTTAGGTGAATCAATGGAGCCACAGTCTACTCAGCAACAGCCTGATGCTTTTGATCAGGTTAGATTTATCCATAACCATCTCCTGCAACTTCAATCGAGCGGTATCAATGTTCAGTTTTTGTTCGAGAATCAACTCTCGGATCAAGCTAATCCGTTACCAGGAAA